ATAATTTACCACCATGTAATAAATAATGTTAACATCAATATGTAACAATACTGAAGAGGCTTTCTGAAGAGGTACTGAGCGATGCATACAACATGACCAATATAATATTTAACTCAATAATTAATTTTACTGAATTAAATGAAAAAGAAATAAGAGAAAAAAATACATTTGAAAGTTGCTCCTCACTGGCAATGTAATCTGCTGCAGCCCACATGGAGATTAGGCTTAGAGCATTATCAACACAAGATCTCACTGGGAGGATTAACAAAATGGGCACTTTTGACAAATGGAAGCGCGTACACATTGAGCCAATCAGTGATGAGCAGAGGGAAAAAGAACCAGTGTGGGGCTCAACTGAAAAAATGTAGACCATTGGTTTTAAATTAAGCAAGTCCTAGCCTCTGATTCTAAACTCCCAGAAACAACATATGAGGATGTCTCTGAGTGGAGGGTGAATTTATTTTCAGTTTGATTTCAATCGTTCATCACTGGGATGGGTATTCAAGATGGTGGCTCTAATTGGGAGCCTTTTTTGTTTTATTCATTCATGTGATTGTAGGCATCACAGGGTAGATCAGTATTTATTGTCAATCCCTAATCACCCGTAAAAGGCTAGTGGTGAGTTGCCGCTCTAAACAACTGCAGTTCTTGGGTGTAAGAACACACACACACACACACACACACACACACACACACCTGTTACAAAAGGAGTTCAAGGATTTTGACACAGCGACAGAGAAGTAACAGTGACAGTATAGCCATTATTTCACTGTTGCTGGGTCAATATTCTAGAAATACCTCCTTGCCAGCACTTCAAGAAGGCTCCTCACCATCATCGTCTACACAGCAATTAGGGATGCGTAGTCCATGTAACCCTAGCCTGTGACACTTGCACCTCACAAGTGAATAAAAAAAAGTATCCTTCCAAGTCAGGATTGTGTATGGCTTGGAGGGGGACTTACAGCGGATGGTGTTCCTGTGGCATTAGCTGCCTGCCTCTTTAGTAGAGACAGTGGACCAGAAAGCTGTTGTTGGCGATGACTTGCTGAGTTACTGGAGTACATCTTGTATATGGTACACACTGCTGTCATTGTGCAGAGATGGTGAAGAGGGTTAATGCTGAAAGGTGGTCGATGTGGTATCAATCAAGCAGGCTGTTTTGTCCTGTAAGCTGATAACCAAGCAAGTTTCATTACTCCTGACTTGTGCCTTATAAGTGGTGGACAAGTTTTGGGGAGACAGTAAGTGAATTACTGTGTGGTTTGTTCTGATAATTTTGTTAGCAGAATTTCTTCTCTTCAAGGCACTGCTTCCATATATGGTTTATCACTGGATGAGATCCTTCTTGCGTTCCTTGTTTGATTTAAACATTACTATTTTCTGTTTGTGATTTATCATTGTTTGGTTTGAATTTCATGAATCGGGAGTTGTGCAAAGTGCAAAACTTCGAAAATTCAAAATCTACTAAATACATTTACACTGTCATTGGCACAATTAATTTTAAAACAGTCAAACTGCTGCTTCTCTTGCCTGGAAACAAGTAATCGTTAGAAGCAAATCCCTCTAGCAGGCTATTGCAGATTGCCTAAGGCTAAATGCAGACACAGAATGCATTATCTCAAAATTCTTGGAATACTTTGAGGCACTTCCTCTGGGATTCGGTTGAACTCTGTTGAAATATTCGACTGAAACCTGTTTTAAGGAGTAGTTGGGTTAAATAACGGTCAACATATTTCTGGTCCTGCTGCCTACTATATCTAACTGAGGTAAATTTCAGCATTTTGATTATCCATGAACAGTCCGTGCATCTTTCTATCTTTCTCATGCTAACTTCTAACCTTGAAATCATCATCAAATGAGTATCGTCAGAGTTTCCGAGATAACAAGGTGTAGAGCTGGATGAACACAGCAGGCCAAG